TTGCTGGAAGAGGTCTCAGCCTGGGCTTTTAAAGCCAGTTCAGTTGGAGTTGGAGGAATGTGGGATTGACTGCAACTCAGAGTTGAAGGCTTTCACCAGAGGTGTGGGAGATTGGCTGCCAAAAACAGTACATTATTCTAAGCAAAACCAGAACAGCTCTGTGTGTTTTGGGTTTTTTAACTGGCAGATTTAGATTCAAGCCTCTACTTTAGGTTAAGCAGAAAGGATTTGAAAATAGGTCTTCTACGTGCCCGATAAAGCCGTACTTTGCCTGCTCCTAATCTTGACATTTCCTGCTAGCTAGAAACTTCTTGCTTAGTTTATTGCCTCTTGTGAATGCGATTCTGAAAGCTCAAACCTTTCCCTTGCCTGAAAGTCAAAAATGTGACAGAGTGTGTCAGAATTGTTTGTAGCACAGGGTACATTATATTCTGCAGATCCATAAGCATTAGACATTTATGAAATGCTTCCCCTTGGATTCAGTGGCACTGCGCTAATGGACTTCTGAAAAGGATGTGCTGTACCACCTTTATGGTTTTTGAGGATTTAACCCAAAACAGTTAGGTCTACCTGCTTTTCAAAAGATGTTGGAGCCTCCTGCCTGGAGATGTACCTTGTTCTTTTTTTGTGGCTAATTATATCCCTGCAGGCTTATTCTGTCGGATGTTAACTTAAGTCTTGGATCCGATACACGCTCTGTGCCTTCTGAAAATGTGTTTCAGTCGATAAATCTCCTTTTAACCTATGCTGTGTGATCTTGGTGAAATTCAGCTAATTCAACTCAATGAGCAATATTTTGATTGGAAAAAAACCACATTATTCAGTCTCTTCCCTTTTATGCTAATAAGCGATGGCCAGAAATGACCTGTACATAGTGATGCTCCTTGTGCAAGTGCTTTTGGACCAGACTGTGTTTTGCCTTGCTCCCCATACTTCTTGAGTAATTCCAAAATATTTTAGTATAAAATTTCAGTTGTCGTCTTCTGTTGGTTGGTCTCTAGTACAGTGTGGCCAATTATAAGAACAGATTTCCATATTTCAAGGAAGTGGTACCTGTTTGGTAAAAGGATGCAGAGGCAGCTGTTTCCTCTGCTTGTGTTTTGGAAGAAGTAACTGATGTAGACATTGGACTCTAAGCACAGGTTCAGGGTTGCAAATCTGAGAGAGAGAGATGCAGCTTAGTTACTGCAGTTAGAGCCAGAAGAGTAGGGGTGCGGAAGGGATTTGTGGCTTAATGGTGTGTTTCCCATTGTTTGTACTCAAGTGTGGATGTTTCTTGGATCCCTGTCTTACGTATTCGACTACAACCTGTGGTTTTCAGAAGAAAATTAAATTCTTTTTCTGGATATTGCTCCCAGAACATGAACGCTATAAAACAAAAACCCAAAAGATGATGCTAACAAATTGCACAGTTTTGCTTTTCATGCAGACTATTTTGAGGGACTTTATTTTGAGCTGTGATATGTTAGAGGCCTATCAGAAACATTGTTTTAGAATCATGGTTGCTTTTATGAATATAAGAAACTTACCGTCAAAGAAGCCTTGGGCAATTATTGCTGGGTAAGAAAATGCTTTGGATTAATTAAAACATTTTTAGTAACATAACAAAAGCAACTGGCCTACAAATTAGCCAGTTAGATGTGGAATTTTTTCAGGTGAAGGAAGGAGTTTTAATTAGAGGACAGAGTTTTGACACTCCTTTCAGTTTTGATTATGCAGTATAAATGAGGCCTTACGAAATATTTGTTTCCTGGTGAAGGTACCAAGTTTGTTCTGTAGTTGTATTTCAGATGCAGCACATCTTTTGAATCAAACGGCAAGAATCTTCACTGTGCAAGGGTAAACTTCAAAGCAGGTAGTAGCCAGCAAGCACGTGAGCACAGCAATGGGCACAGAACTTATAACGGTAACTTACTTCCAAATTGTTATTTTCAGTCTACCTTTTTCTTCTCAAATCACGTCTTTTATTTCTTTAGTCAGGGTAACATGGACTCCTGTTCTGCTATAATCTTCAGTAACACAAACGTTTTGTTCAACTGGCAAATAATTGAGAAACTTCTTAAACATGTTCTACCAGCAAGAGAGGTATAATTGATAGTACCTCTGTCCAGGATGTAAAAAATGCATTGAGTGCAGCATGAAAACTGAGTGATAAATTAGTGTGTACCATCATACGAGAAGGTAAATACAGCTCATCAATCTCAGGTAGACTTTGAAAGGCATCAGTAAAGCTAGTGACAAGGTTTGAAGAGGACAGAGGTCACAACTGTTGTCCATCAGCCACTATAGGTCATCCCTCTGTTTAGTTTTTATGCTGACCTGCATTTCCTGTGGTACTTGGCAATGGCACGTCATTTCCTATGGGTTTGTTTTCCTGAAGTGTGGATTATCTTTTCTGAAGAAGAGTAATTTTTAATTTCTGCTTTACCCAGCAGAAACAATGCCTCCCAACACCCCCTTTTCAGCTCAGCATTTATTCACTGCACTCCACTCAGTGGCCACAAATGTAGAGTTACTGTTATGGTGACTGCAGCCAGTCAGCTAAAAGACATGCTTGTCCATTCCAGCTACCTTTCCTGGTGAAGGTCCATAGAAGAAGCTGACTGAAATAAGTATTCAAAGGTAGATGTTCCCGTCAGTAGCAGTTCATTTGTGGTGTGAATGGAGCGTGTCTGTTTGGCAGTTACGTGCCTAGGACACAGGGCTGGTAAGAAGGTGTGCATGTACTCTTATGAAACCATAGCAGTGTCACAAAAGGTTTCACCTCTAAGCACTGTCTAGTACTGGTCTGGGGTCACTTCAAAAGTAGGTCATTCTGCAGTCAATCAGAAACCTTGTAGTATTGATAATTTGTCAGAGCAGTGCTTAAGAGTGGTGGCGAAGTAGACTTATTACTCTCGGTGTGCTTAAGGTACACAAATAGAGGTACTGAAACTGCAGTTTACCCAAACTCAGACAAATTAACAAAAAATTTTATTAAGAGTATTCAATATAGCACCACACAAAAGGTACAATGTGCTTTGTGTTGCCTTTAAGGAACGTGCCAGAATACTTTCAAACTAGAAAAACTACTGTAAAAAGCTTTCTTGTTCATCATCAGCACTTACTGCTTGCTGTTTAGAGAAGCTATTCTGAAAGAACCACAGGTTTTGTACATAATGTTTTAGTGGTCTTCCAGGCAGATGCAGCATTGTTCCCTTACCCATTAGTTCTCTTTCACCTTCTGGGGTTTGAGCTTTTGTTCAAAAAAACCTCACTTAGGCCAAGGTGTTTTCAGGAAAAGCATTCAATCCAGAACTCTTACCAGCAGATCCAGCTAAGAACATACTAGTCAGCTGCTAAATTCTATTTCTTGAAAAAGTAACAGAATTTCGATCAATGGTAGTTGTGTGAATTGGGCTCTAAGAATCAACTCCAGGCAAACCGAGAAAGATTTGGAACCAGCTCTTAATTAGGTCTTGACTAGATACTTGATAAAATTACAGATAAATTACATCATAGAAAAAATATTGGTGACTTTGAAGGGTCATTTAGTCCATCTCCTCTTTCAGTACAAATTGTTATGCTATAATGGCCTGCAATTATTTCAAATATAAGGTGCTTCTAAAGCCCACAGCAGGGTGCTGGAACTAGTTGATCTTTACGGTTTCTTCCAACCCAAACCATTCTGTGATTCGATTTCATTCTAAAGTATTTATTGGTCCCTCACATTCCTTACATAGCTGAACTCTGTTTCTTAGACTGAATTGTTCAGATTATGTTCTGTATATTAGCTACTACACTATTATGCTTACATTAAATTTGCTTTATTTTTTTTTTTTGTAACTGAGGTGAAATGTTTCTATTTTGCCTGAATATGCAACACACAGATGTTTCAGAACATCTTTTATTTGATGCATCTTGCAGTTAGAGAAAGGCTGGTTTGCATAAAGGGAACCTTAGCAAGTCAACAATAGTAATAGAGCCATAGTCAAATCAAAGTGTGGAATGGACCCAGTGCTAATGCATATAAAGAAAGTACTGAAAAACTTCTAGGCTTCCAGCTTCACTGACTCCAGTATGGAACGTGCTTCTTTATACTCTTCAGCTTCTTCCAATTCTTTCTCATTTTCCTGGAATTAAAAACAAATTTTTTGAGTACTTTGAAAATAATTGCCGTGAGATTAATTTTAAGAAGGTAACTATGAAAAAAAACTGATAACAACAGATGAGGAGAAGGCTGAGGTACTCAACAACTTTTTTTGCCTCAGTCTTCACTGGCAATCTCTCTTTCCATACCTCTCAAGTGGATGGACCGCAAGGTAGGGACTGGGGGAGCAAAGTCCCTCCCACTGTAAGAGAAGATCAGGTCTGAGATCACCTGAGGAACTATAGGACCCAACAAGATGCATTCTAGAGTCACCAAGCCACTCTCCATGATATCTGAGAAATCGTGGCAGTCAGATGACATCCCTGGAAACTGGAAAATATTGCACCTGTTTTTAAAAAGGGTAGAAGGGAGGACCCTGGGAACTGCTGACCTGTCAGACTCACCTCTATGCCTGGGAAGATCACAGAACAGATCCTCCCAGAAGCTGTGCTAAGGCACATGGCTGTAATTTGAGACAGCCAGCATAGCTTCACCAAGGGCAAGTCCTGTCTGACCAACCTAGTGGCCTTCTATGATGGAGTGACTACATCAGCAGACACAGGAAGGGCTACAGATGCCATCTATCTGGACTTCTGTAAGGCCTTTGACATGGTCCCCCCAACAGCCTTCTCTCTAAATCAGAGAGATACAGATTTGATGGATGGACTGTTTGGTGGATGCGGAATTGGCTGCATGGCTGCATGCAGAGGGTAGTGGTGTCCTGGCTTTGGCTGGGATAAAGTTAATTTTCTTCCCAGTAGCTGCTGTGTTTCCGACTTAGTAGAAGATGATTGCTGATAATACACTGAAGTTTTTAGTTGTTGCTAAGAAACCAAGGACTTTCTCCAGTCTCCCACATTCAGGTAATGAGCAGGTGTTCAGGAGCTGGGAGGGAGCACAGCCAGGCAGGTGGGCCAAGCTGGCCAGTGGAAATATTCCTTACCATGGATGGCATGCTCAGCCTGTGAATGGGGGGTTGGTCAGGGGACAGAAACTTTTCCAGAAGTTTCACCCTTTTTCCAGGAGTTCAGCAAAATCCATGACCTCTGGGAAACCTGTGGGTTCTGCAATCACAGCTCAGGGACTGTCTGCAGAATTGGTCATCAGGTGGTGAGAAAAATTGTATTGCATATTGCTTCTTTTGTGTATTCAGTATTATTATTTCCTTTGTTGTCTTATTAAACTGTCCTTATCTTAACCCATGAGTTTTACTTTTTGTCCATTTCTCCTCCCCATCCCACTGAATGGGGGGGTGGGGGAAGCAAATGAGCAGGCATGTGTTGCTGGTTGCTGACTGCCAGGTTAAACCATGGCAGGTGGTCAATGGGTCAGTATCCAGGTGGAGATTAGTGATGAGTGGTGTCCCTCAGAGGTCTGTATTAGGACCAGCACTGTTTAATATATTTATCAGTGACATAGACAGGGGGATCAAGTGCACCCTCAGCAAGTTTGCAGATGTCACCAAGCTGAGTGGTGCAGTTGACATGCCTGATGGATGAGATGCCATTCAAAGGGACCTGGACAAGCTCAAGAAGTGGGCCCAGCTGAACCTCAGAAGGTTCAACAAGGTGAAGTGCAGGGTACTACACCTGGGATGGGGCAACCCCTACTGTCAATACAGACTGGGGGATGAAGGGATTGAGAACAGCCCTGCCAAGAAGAACTTGGGGGTACTGGTGGATGAAAAGCTGGACATGAGCCAACAATGTGCGCTCACAGCCCAGAAGGCCAGCTGTGTCCTGGGCTGCATCAAAAGCAGCGTGGCTAGCAGGTTGAGGGAGGTGATTCTGCCCCTCTGCTCCAGTCTGGTGAGACCTCACCTGGAGTCCTGTGTCCAGCTCTGGAGCCCTCAGCACAGGGAAGACATGGACCTGTTGGAGCAAGTCCAGGCGAGGGCCACAAAAATGATCCGAGGGCTGGAGCACCTCTCCTATGAGGAAAGGCTGAGAGAGTTGGGGTTGTTCGGCCTGGAGAAGAGAAGGCTGCGCGGAGACATTGTGACCTTTCAGTACTTAAACAGGACTTCTAAGAGAGATGAGGACAAACTTTTCGCAGGGCCTGTAGTGATCTAGGACAAGAAGTAATGGTTTTAAACTAAAAGAGGGTAGATTTAGTCTAGATATAAGGAAGAAGTTTTTTACCATGGGGGTTGTGAAACACTGGAACAGGTTGCTCAGAGAGGTGGTAGACGACCCATCTGTGGAAACATTCAAGGTGTGGCTGGATGGGGCTCTGAGCAACCTGATCTAGGGGAAGATGTCCCTGCTTATTTGAGGGGGGTTGGTCTAGATGTCCTTTAAAGGTCCTTTCCAAAACAAACCATTTTATGATTGTGTGAAACAAGGGCTATATCATTGCTGAAAACACTAGTTCTACATGATTCAAAACATGGGTAATTTCTTTTGTCCTACTTAAGGTCTAGGATAATGGCTGTCATGTGTGAGTAGATTTGACCTAGGCATATGTTTATTTTATTCTGTTAAATGTTTAAAACCAAGGACAGCATAACTGGAATGAGTAACAACAGACCTTGGAACAAGAGTACCATTATGAAAAAGCTTAGGCAAACTCACAATTGAAAAAACATACGGTACAAATGATTTTAATAAAAGCACTTGAAGGCAAGCAAAGCACAGAAAGCAACCCTTAAAGACTTCCAAATTCTTAACAACAATAGTAGTTCCCCGCCATTCCTTGTCTTTATTTTGTACAGCACACTGTATGGATCAATAGCACCATTTCTGCATGCCACTGAAATCTAGACCAGCTAACTGTGAAGTAAGTAGTTGAATGACAAAAGGACCCTAAATCCTGCCAAATACGGAGGATCTGTTTTGGAAAACAGTAGAGACATATTACCTGAGGATAAGAAACCTCGAGTTCTCCTTTGAGAAGGGATTTGTGTTTTAGCCATCAGATGTATGTATTTTAGGGTATGTATTTTCAACCTCACAGTAGTATTTACATGTGTAGCTGAATTCTTGATCGGAAGTCAGCTTTTAAAATAAGCTTGATGGTCTCCAGGCTTGGTATAGTTCCAGTGAATATATTTGTACAAGATACTATGTATTCCTGCAGATACTCGTATCATAAAAATGTGGCACTTGCGCTCACCTCACTGATAAATCATATAAGCTGTACTTGGCAAGGACTCAGCTGTCTCTTTTCTTGCCCATAGCATAATAAAAGTAGTAAGAAAGTATTTTCACTATTTCTGTTCACTACAAGCATATTACATAAATCTGCATAATCTAGAAAACCACCTAAGGCAGGTGAACTATTTTTTTCTGATCATGCAACTAGCACAGGAATTCAGAGTCCATTCTATTAGTTCAATATTTAAGTTTATGTGGAGCGTACATTCCATTAAAGACAGCTTCTAATATTCTAACACACACAGTTTTCATAGACTGAAGACCAAGCCTGCAAAGACAGTTATCTAAAATGAAATATTGGTATGTTATAGGACACTAGTCTCAGGACCTATAAAAAGGTAATTCTTCAATCCAGTTCTAATATGCTGCAATTGCACTGCAGACAAGCATGCTTATCCAGGTTCATCAGCATCAATGCTGATCAGCAGCATTTACTGATCAGTGTTTTTTGGTGCTGTACTTACTAGTAGTTGAGTAAGATCTGCATGTGCAACTTCTAATCTGCGCTGACAGTCTGGAATCATCATTCGTGACTCTTGTAAGATCTCAATCTGTGAAAATTAGAAGACATTGAAATGAGAATGTATTCCAGATAGGAATGTTATTTTTTAAGACAAGTCTTCAGTCTGAAAAATCAGTAGTACAGTCATGATCTAGGAACTTCAGAACAGTTGTACCTATTTTCTGAATAGGCTTTTTTATTAAAAGACACTCACTTAGCATAATTTCTTAAAATTCTGTTAATTAACAGGACACTTCCATTTACTTTGTACTTAATTAAATATAAAGTTTTAAGTGCACAGAAGTATTTAGAATAATTTTTGCCTTAGAAAAAAGTACTGCCTACAGTAGCTTTCCATACAGCATTTGTTAAAAAGGCTATTTAAAACAAACTCTCTCCTGCTGTCATGAAGCAGCTTCATCCAAAATGGGATCAGCTGGTTATATAAATATCTCCTGCATCTTTTGGGTAATAAAGAAAAACAGTGTTCAGATAATACCACATAGAGATAATTACTGCATGAAAAAAGTTATTGGGTTATTGATCACATTGTGTGCACACTGCAGGAGGCTCTGACTTAAAGACAAAGGTAAAGAAAAATGAAAAGCAAAGACCAGCAGGCTCATGTTTTTGATGCTTATCATGCATAAAAAGTTATTACTTATCCTTGTGCTTCATTTTAGGAGAAAGATTATTCTCACCATGCACTTTGAACAAAATTACTAAACTGGCACCCCACTGAATCTGAACATCGTGCCTCCTCCTACAGAAAACAACTTCACATTTATACAAGGGAACACTTATTTCATGGAACATTTCTGGATCTGAAATCCAACCACTGAGAAGAAAAGGTGTGCAGAGTTTTCAGTAATGTTACATCTATTTAGAAATGAAAATCTGTTAAATATTTAAATATGAAGCCTCTTCTGCATTCAGGATAACCTGCAACAGAAGGCATTCCCTTTAAATGGCTTCATTCTGTCATTGCTATGTTGTATTCTCCTTTCAGTATTAATGCTGCTGTACCAAAGGAACACTGTCATTGTAAAAGAGAAGATAAGCTATAGCTAAGAATGTATTTCTGCATACAGGAAGGCCTGAAGTACTAAAATATCATCACCATGTTTTTAAGGGTCATATATTTAAGTTCTTAGTTCAAGTTATTTTTGAGAGAAAGGGTTTAAAAACTTTGTTTCTGATTTTCTTTCAGGGAATCTAGAGCAAAACCTGTCTACCTCAATGAGGCAAAGATGGGTGACAAAAAAGTTAAGGACCTCCAAGTTCTAGTTCTCATCAGTATTATCACTTTTCTTTTAAGCATACAGTGTTCTACTGTATTAAAAATAAGACTAGGAACTCTGCATATTATATTTTCAGCAGTGAATGAATAAATAAAGGTTTGTAACTTCCAGAGTGAGGTGTGCCATAAACTGCATGAGATGATGCCTTCTGCTTTCTGTACTACAAATTTGTTCCATAAAGAGTACCCACAGAGTGAGAATATCTAATAATTACTTCCTTGGGCCAGTACTGCTAAGTAGTTGTGGATTGTGAAGCTGGCAGATGGTATGATAAGTAGTAACTTACTGGATATATGCCACTCAGTAAGCGAACTGGGAAGGCATATAAATGTAGAACCTGTAAGGTGTAGTCCTGGCTGCTGTAAGAAATGAACAAAACTACCCCAATCACTCTGTTCAAAACAGAACTTGACTGAGATCCAAAGGGGTACCCGAGTTTTATTTACATTTGCCTGCAGTTACACAATGATAATACTCATAAAAAAACCAACCAAACAAAAAAAAACAAATAGAAGAAAGAGAAATCCTGGAGTAACATTCAGTAGGTACAAACAGCTGGAGACTTTAATAGGAATTTTGTGGAGCCAAGATGATTAGTTGATTACTGAACTACCCATGCAAACTTTGATAACTTATGCATAAAATGCAATTTTTTCAAGTAATGCCAATAATCCCAGATAGATCATTTACTGTTACAGAAGTATATAATAAAGCAAAGTAAAAGCTTCAAATAATTAGATAAGCTTTAGGACTGGAAATTATAAAGTGTTTGCTCTCCAAATTCTATCAAAATTCTATCAAACTTTCTGACTGAACTCTAAGGAGTTTAAATTATAAGCAGGTCACAGAGGAGGTTATTACATGAACTGATCTAACTTTGCAAAGAGCCATAAATATCGGCTGGGTTTCTGTGAATTACAGTGCCAAACAGAAGTATTAAAAAACTGGAATAATTGAAGTGCATCTAAATACAGTGTTAAGACAAATGCAGTAAAGCACAGAAATAGGTACAGGGAGAAGCAAATTTAATTTGTTCTCAATAAGTGCACATAGGACCAAAAGAGCTATTGTGGCTATAGTGAGGATGATGCCCCCTTTCCTTTAAGTGTACTGAAAAAAACGGTTAAGCAAATCTCTTCAACCAGCCACATTTCTAGTCAGTTGTCTTTCAGGACTGAAGGTATTTCTACTAAGGGAGCAGATGTCTGGCACCTTTCGAAAGAAAGCAGTTTGTTCAGATGTGATGGGAGCTCTCTAACTGTTGGGGTGTATATAGCCTATTTACTAAATGCTATGTAGATTTCTTGTGAATTGAATCAGATGTCAAAGAACTGGTGTGCATAATGCACTATCAGTGAGTAGCCTTCAATTTGTTTTTCATAAATTCCAGATTGCAGTGACAGATAAAGCAGAACAGATGCAAACACACAGATCCACCTACCAGTTGCTTAATTAGAAGGACACCATAACTAAAATTAGACAATTATTTTACACATTCAAAGGCAAAACATGAGACTGTGAGAAGGAGCTGAGTATGTGTGTGGGTTGACCCTGACTGGACGTCAGGTGCCCACTAAAGCCGCTCTATCACTCCCTCTCCTCAGCTGGACAGGGGAGCGAAAGTATAACGAAAGGCTTCTGGGTCAAGATAAGGACAGGGAGAGATCATTCACTGATTACTGCCACGGGCAAAACAGACTCGACTTGGTGAAAAATAATTTATTACCAATCAAATCAGAGTAGGCTAATGAGAAATAAAACCAAACTAAATCTTAAAACACCTTCCCCTACCCCTCCTTTCTTCCCAAAGGAAGAGGCTCAACCTCACTCCTGATTTTCTCTATCTCCTCCCCCTGAGCAGCGCAGGGGGATGGGAAATGGGGAATGGGGGTTGTGGTCAGTTCATCACACGTTGTCTCTGCCACTCCTTCCTCCTCACACTCTTCCCCTACTCCAGCATGGGGTCCCTCCCTCGGAAGACAGTACTCCATGAACTTGTCCAACATGAGTCCTTCCCACAGGCTGCAGCTCTTCAGGAACAGGCTGCTGCAGCGTGGGTCCCCCGCAGGGTCACAAGTCCTGCTAGCAAACCTGCTCCGGCGTGGGCTCCTCTCTCCACGGGTCCACAGGTCCTGGCAGGAGCCTGCTTGAGCATGGGTTCCCCACAGGGTCACAGCCTCCTTTGGGCATCCACCTGCTCTGGCATGGGGTCTTTCCCCGGGCTGCACGTGGAGATCTGCTCCACCGTGGACCTCCATGGGCTGCAGGGGGACAGCCTGCCTCACCACGGTCTTCTCCATGGCCTGTAAGGGAATCTCTGCTCCAGTGCCTGGAGCACCTCCTCCCCCTCATTCTGCACTGACCTTGGTGTCTGCACGGTTGTTTCACTCACATCGTCTCACTCCTCTTTCCTGCTGCAATTGCCATTAGCCAGTTGTTTTTTTTTTTTCCCTTCTTAAATACGTTATCCCAGAGGCGCTACCACCATTGCTCAGCCTGGATGGGCTCACCCTTGGCCAGCAGTGGGTCCGTCTTGGAGCTGGCTGGCATTGTCTCTATCAGATATGGGGGAAGCTTCTCTCAACTTCTTACAGAGGCCACCCCGCGTGGGCCCCCCGCAGGGTCACAAGTCCTGCTAGCAAACCTGCTCCGGCGTGGGCTCCTCTCTCCACGGGTCCACAGGTCCTGGCAGGAGCCTGCTTGAGCATGGGTTCCCCACAGGGTCACAGCCTCCTTTGGGCATCCACCTGCTCTGGCATGGGGTCTTTCCCCGGGCTGCACGTGGAGATCTGCTCCACCGTGGACCTCCATGGGCTGCAGGGGGACAGCCTGCCTCACCACGGTCTTCTCCATGGCCTGTAAGGGAATCTCTGCTCCAGTGCCTGGAGCACCTCCTCCCCCTCATTCTGCACTGACCTTGGTGTCTGCACGGTTGTTTCACTCACATCGTCTCACTCCTCTTTCCTGCTGCAATTGCCATTAGCCAGTTGTTTTTTTTTTTTCCCTTCTTAAATACGTTATCCCAGAGGCGCTACCACCATTGCTCAGCCTGGATGGGCTCACCCTTGGCCAGCAGTGGGTCCGTCTTGGAGCTGGCTGGCATTGTCTCTATCAGATATGGGGGAAGCTTCTCTCAACTTCTTACAGAGGCCACCCCTGTAGTCCCCTCGGTACCAAAACCTTGCCACACAAACTCAGCACAGGAGATAATGCCCAAGGCTTTAAACATGAGCAACTCTGATTTTTAGCAGGTCACACAATGAAAGTTCAAAGCTACTGTTTCAACTTTAGGCAGATCAGAGCTACTCAGATGAGACAGATTCTCTACTCTTTGGATCATCCAGCACTTACACTAAATAAAATTTTTGATAATTTAAGAATACAAATAAATATTACTGCTTATGACTCAATACCAAGTATTTTGCAACAGGAAGCTATTTTGCTCAGCCTAACTGACACGTATTATATAATTTTATATAATAAATTATATATAAAATTATATAATTTATTATATATATTATATTGTTTATCAATATATATTATTAATATATATTATTATTTCTTAAAGAGCAGCTCTGTGGAGAGGGACCTGGGTGTCCTGGTGGATGACAGGTTAACCATGAGCCAGCAGTGTGCCCTGGCTGCCAAGAAGGCCAATGGGATCCTGGGGTGCATCAAGAAGAGTGTGGCCAGCAGGTCAAGGGAGGTTCTCCTTCCCCTCTACACTGTCCTGGTGAGGCCTCATCTG